ACGGGCAACGAAACCGACACCAAAACATCAAAACGCTCGCCGTAACGCACCGTTTCGGGGACCCCCTCAATCACGGGTCGGAGATTCGCCCGGTCCGGACCCAAATACTCGGGCGAAAAAGCTTCGAGTCGCAACTCGGTGGGAAACTCGGCGTTGAATTTGTAAAAATAATGCGGGTTACTACCCGCAATTAGTACCCGGCCGTCCGGTAATAAATTCGCGGTAGAATGGTACATTCGGGGCACGGTTCCCGGGTTCAACGTCATGAACCGTAACCCGACGGGTTGATCGGGTCGGTAGAGAAGCGGGTACAGGCACGGGTTGGATGCCTGCTCGAACCCCTGGGTCCCAGCTTGCGCTCCGTTGATGATCAAAATGTCGCCGGTTGGGAGCATGACCATGTCCCCCATGATCCGCCCGAATGGCATGTCCTCCATTTGCCAAACTGGGTCTGGCGATGTCGCCACGACGCGCCCGCAACTACCGTGCGCAGGGGTGTCGGTGCTCCCCTTGATGAACGCGCCGTACTGGGCCCCACCGCAAACAACTATCACGGCCGTTGAGTAGTCGCCATCTAAGGCCAGCATTGCTGATGATCCGGCCGATGGGTAATTACGCGGGCCACCATCCAACTGTGGATATTCTCTCACGATTTTATCCACCACGTGATCGTACGACACTGCTTTGTTGTTCGCGAAGATGAACAGGTGGCCGTTGGGAAGGAGATGCACGTAAGGGTATAAGTTGTCCATCTGAGTGTCCTCCACGTCAGCAAGGAAATTGAGGGAAACGACGCCGGTGCGAGGCGGGTAATACTCCACCGTGTTCGCCGCTCTCCCGCCAACTATAATCACCGAACCGTCAGGTAAAATCTGGTTCGTAGCGTACCACCTCCCTGCCGACAATTCCACGTCAGCAAGCTCCACCCAGTCGCACGACCCGTTCAGCTCGCACGGGTCGAACTTTCTGATCTTTTTAAACCCGTCCAGGTCCCCACCCGTTTGTAACAAAGACCCGTCCGGGAGGAACTGTCCGGATGAGCACCACGTGTCGGTGTTGATCATGAGCGGTCGGATTTGGTTGGTCTCGGGGTCGAAGAGCACGGAGTGGGCGTAGCAGTCGTGCTTGAGAACGGCATCGTTTGGGTCGCTGCGGCAGCGACCCTTGCGGAGCATTTTGCGAGACGGGCCAATGTTGGTGCGGTCGAGGAGCACCACGGTGTTGAAGCGGGTGACGGCCGTGTGCATGGAGGATACGCCGGCGTTCTCCGCTAGGAGTTCCCACGTGCCTGGGAGGTCGGCACGTGCGAAGACAATTACAGCCGTGGAAGTGAGAAGCAAGAGCAGCCATTGCTGAGAAACAGGAGAGTCCATTGAGGAAGAAAGTCTGAAAATGAAAAGGAAAGATAAGTGTGGTGTGGGTGTTTTAGATAGTGAAGCTCATACTTAAAGTAATTGAGGGAGAGGCTTTGCTACAGGAAGGTGCACAAGAAGACAAAGGAACGCATTGTATACAGTCCTTCCGATTCAAAGATAACGGTAGGAAATGCGGGGTCCGTGGAGCCGCTTACGATGACACGAAATTACACGCTTGGTTTTCTTGGGTGGGGAAAGTGGATGGAGAAGCCACTGAAAAAGTGAAACCGGGACACTGGTGGGGCCCATGGTGGAACCACCACGTGGCGTGTCCACTCTTACACCATGCCCTGCCACACTGCACTTTGAAGTTCTTGCATCCTCTGCATTGTTTTAATTAGAAATGGTAATTAATTAAGGAGTAAGCTCTGCGGTAATGATGATTGGGTTAATTAGTTGCAGTTCTGTTTGTTGAAGTACCAATTCAGTAACCGACTCATAATGTTTTATGATGACAATTATTTTATGAGAATTCAGAGGACTTGCACAACCCTTGGCTCTCAAGTTTACCATAAGACGGTATCAAGTATAATGTCGGTTCTTTTTAGCTACCAGTCTATTACTTAAAATAGTGTGTCCGTTGTCAGAATATATATAATTTAATACCACGAAGACAAATATACGACCTCAGCGGACCAACCCATGAATTATAATGTTTGGCAATTTTATATCGAAATTATTTATTAAACCAGTTTGGCTGAAACCCGTAATTATAGTCGTAGGGTTTGTATATTAAGTGATTAAGAGCGTTATTTTTGCGAATGAAGTTATTTAGACGATGTCTTGTAACTTATGTTATCCATTCACCAATGAGAGGATGCCAATGACTTTGGGGCTTTGGTGATAAGAAGACATTAGGGGCCATACGTACTATACCATAATGCATATAAATCCAACGAAGCTCTCAGCAATGACAAATTGTTGGCCTACGAGAACATGTGATTTGAAATTGCGATGACACATCGTGATCTCCTCAGCTGAAAACATCAGTAAAAGTTCGATATCATTTGCATCCCTTAAAGGGGAAGGGGAAAAAAAACCTCAGCACATGTATTATTATTTCTTGTAATAACAATACATGTATCAATGTGCATAATTTAAATATATATATATATATATGGGTGGGGTTTGTTGGAATCGTGAAATCAAAGCAAAAACCATTTAACGGTAGCTAGTGATAATGAAAGTGAAATGTGCAGAGAAAGATAAGGAGAAAGAAAGCTAGAGAGAGAACACGTGAATTTCTAAGAGAATTTTACTGGTTGTATTTTCTTAATAAACAATTACTGTACATACCATCTTTATACAATTGCTTAACAATTCCTAACTGAGCACACGATATACACGTGATCTACAGCTACAGATAATATGCTGACTAGACATGTACAGTCATCATTCCCCCTCAAACCCAGCTGGGTTCCCCAATCTAAGATTAATACAATGTTTGAGAAAAATAGGACTATGAAGACCTTTGGTAAATACATCAACCACTTGTTCTTCAGTTGGTATGTATTGAACAATCAAGTCTCTTCTTTGAACTCTCTCTCTGACGAAATGAAAATCAATATCCAAATGCTTGATTCGTGAATGATAAACAGGATTAGAACTAAGTGCAATAGCTGATAAGTTGTCACAGTGCAAAACAGGTTGCTGTGGCAGACGAACTTTTAAATCTTGCAATACCTGTCTTATCCAAGCTATATCAGCTGAGGTATGTGCCAAGGATCTATACTCAGCTTCTGTTGAACTCCTAGCCACAGAGGTTTGTTTCTTGGATTGCCATGAAATTGGATTAGGACCTAAGAAAACCACAAATCCCGTAGTAGATCTTCTGGTATTCACATCTCCTGCCCAATCTGCATCACTAAAAGCATGTAATTGCCAAGGACCAGTAGAGAACTTCAATCCATGATCTAGAGTGCCCTGAAGATATCTGAGTATCCTTTTAACAAGTAACCAATGAAGGTTTGTAGGAGCAATCATGTATTGGCAAACAGAATTAACGGCATAGGATAAATCTGGTCTGGTAAATGTTAAATACTGTAAAACGCCAACAACACTGCGATATAACAAGGGATCAGATAGAAGAGTACCCTCAGACTGCAATACTTGAGTGTGTGGCTTACTAGGAGTTGAACAGGGTCTGCAGGAACTCATGCCTGCTTTATGTAGAAGGTCTTTAGCATATTTCTTCTGACTTACAAATATATCACTCTCTGCATTATAATCAATCTGTAAACCCAAGAAATAGGTAAGCTTTCCCATGTCTTTCATTTCAAAAACTGCACTCAGTTCATCAACCACTTCTTGAATACAAGATGCCTTGGAACCTGTAAGAATTATATCATCCACATATAAAAGAAGAATGACAATATCAGATCCAGTATGCTTGACAAACAAACTTGGATCAGAATGAGAAGATTTGAAACCAATAGCTGGTAAATAACCAGTGAATTTAGCATTCCAAGCCCTTGGAGCTTGCTTAAGACCATAAAGAGATTTCTTTAATTGACACACAAACTCTGGATGTGCAGAATCTTCAAAACCAGGAGGTTGCCTCATGAAAACTTCTTCTTCAAGATCTCCGTGTAAAAAAGCATTTTTAACATCTAACTGTCTTAAGGACCATTTGTTCATAGCAGCAATACTCAAAATTAATCGAACTGTAGTATGCCGAACGATAGGACTAAAAGTCTCACTAAAATCCAATCCAGGCTCCTGACTAAATCCTTGAGCTACTAGACGAGCCTTATGCCTAGAAACAGTTCCATCTGAGTTTCTTTTAATCCGGTAAACCCACTTACTGCCAACAACATTTTTATGGCATGGTTTTGGAACTAAAATCCAAGTACCCTGCATGTGTAATGCATCAAGTTCTCAGGTAGTGAAGGAATAGAGGTATAATAACATTGATAATCAGAAAAAGGCTTTCTACAAACAATACCATCTTTGGACCTGGTAGTCATAGTATGTGTATTAACAGAACCAGTAGGAACTGAAACATCATCATAGTGAGAGCTAGCTGGTAAAAGCACTTGTACCTGATCACCCCTTAGCACGGGTGCTGGCATAGAAACAAGAGGGACTCTGTCACCAATAGAATCATTGCTAGAAGAAGCACGAGAAAGCGGATCATTATTGGAAACTTGGTGAGGGAAAAAAACATCCTGAGATACAGCAGGTTGTAAACCAGATGGTGATAAACTCATACTATGTGCTGGAGTGGATGAAGACACATGAATAGAAATAGAAACCAATACCGGAGTTGGCTGTGAATTTCCATGAGACGAACTCGAAGCAGACGAAGACATTTTATTTGCAAAAGGAAAAACTGTCTCATCATGCAAAACATGTCTTGAAACAACAAATTTACCAGTAAGCATATTAAAACACAAAACTCCCTTGTAACCTTGTGCATAACCCATGAACACACATTGAGCAGTCCTTGGTTGAAGCTTGTGCACATTATAACATCTCAAGTAAGGATAAACAGCAGTGCCAAAAACTCTCAGATGTTGAACATTAGGAGCATGACCAAACAACTTAAGGAATGGAGAGTGATGATTCAAAACCTCACTCGGCATTCTATTTATTAGATAAATGGCGATTCTTTCTTTCAGCCAACCCATTCTGCTGAGGAGTGTGAGGGCAAGACAAGTGATGAGCAATGCCTTTAGAATCAAGAAAGGCAGTGAACAATGTGCTAGTAAACTCACCCCTTCCATCAGTTTGAAATGTCTTAACTTTAGCATCATACTGATTTGTGAGCATAGCATAAAACTTCTTGAAAACTCCAAAAACATCTGATTTATTAAAAATGGGATATAGCCACATAAAACTAGTACATTCATCAACAAAATTGACATAATATCTATAGCCATCAATGGATTTTACAGCAGAGGGACCCCATACATCACTATGGATACATTGAAATGGCATAGTGGCTCTAGAATGACTAGTAGGAAAAGACAACCTATGCATTTTGCCTTGTAAACATGCTGAACAGATAGCTGAAGAAAGATCATCAGAAGCAGAAATAGTAGAAGCTTGCAACATTTTCTTTGTAACCTCATTAGTGGTATATCCTAACCTCTGATGCCACAAGGAAGACTTTATTTTCTGGCCAATGTAAGCTTTATGCATTGAAGAAATTGAAGATATTGTAGACCGAGGAAGCAGTGGAATAGGATATAAACCATGATCACTCTTTCCCTTGAGAAGCGAACATGAAAAACAGAGGGCATTGTAAGCCTAGATGTAGCACCAGGAATATTAGAAGTGCCGATATGAAGTATATTCAGACCTTCCCCATTTCCAACTGTGACATTTTCCTCAGTAACACATGGAGTCACATTTTGCAACTGAGACACATCACCCACCATATGATGTGTGGCTCCACTATCAGCAATCCAGACTTGTTCAGGAGAATAAGAAGTCTGTGCTGTCATAGCAGTTAAGGAAGAAGGAGGAGCTTGACCTTGAAATGAGTAATTCGACCTGTGATAACAATCCAAAGCAACATGCCCACGCTTGCCACAGATTTGGCACTCAGGCACTGTAGAAACTGAAGATTGAGAATTGGCATGCCTAAAGAAACAATTAACAGCCGTATGACCCCTTTTATTACAAATCTGACATTCAGGAACAAACTTGGAACCAGAAAATGTGTTGTGGCCTCGATAATCAGGAGTAATGCCTCTGAAATTTGGACGAGTTGGAGAACTAAAATTCCGTCCACCATTGAACTTGCCTCGACCAAAACCAGTATGAGAAATAGGACGAGGACCAAAAGACAGCGAAGGAGGTCTAGAAGATGCATTACCTGTAAGGACCCGGTCCTAAATAAATTGGTGCATATTAATTTATGCAGATAAAAGGACCATTTTGCCATTAGATTATTTTGTGAGGTTTAGAGTTGACTTTTTGATCGGGATGGAATTTGGAAATTTCAACAGTACCGTTGCGTAGAGCACGGCGAGATGAGTCCGTAGACACGTAGTGGGCTCGAATCGGAGTTGTGACGAGAGAGATACGATCAAAATACCTTCAGTGGCATAATTGTAAATATTTCGAAATGGGTTTTTAATAAAATCTGAAAACCCTCTCTCTCTCTCTCTCTCCTGCGTGCTGTCTCTCTCTTCTTCGCGCGACAGCAGCGCAGCCGGCCACGTTTTGGCCGGCCGTTCGGTCGTCCGGCCACCAAACCCGCCGGGGCCGCGCCCAAAACACCAAAATGACCGAACTTCCTTCCTCTTCCCATCCCGACCAATTTCAGCCGCTGGAACCGCCGGTACTGGCCGGAAATTGAAGAAATCCGAGCTGTTTCCGGACAGATTTTGACAGATTTTCCAAGTCTTCGTTCTCTCTCATTTCTCCACCAAGTTGGACGAATGAGGTATGGATTCTCGACTATTTTTCATGATCTAGCTGCCTGTTGGATAGGATTCCAGGAATTTTGAGAGTTTGTAGTTCGATTTTGGAATTAGGTTTCGGTCGATTTTTAAATTGAATTTCCGGCCACTTCCGGTCAGTTTTTGGGGTATGCCCAAGAACAAAAGTGACTCCAAATTAGGTGTATTACCTAGGGTAGGAGTCTTGGCACGAGATTCTAAGATTTTTTGGCGATGCGATATCGCTTTGGACACCCACGCGCTGTCAGCGCGTGTGGCGGCGCGTGGGCACTGTAGCTGAGGGGCATTTTTGTCCCACTGCGATCCTCTCGATGTCACGAGCGCGTAGATGTGCTCGGATTTCAATTTGGATATTGTTAGGGTTTCGAACGGATATCGCATGTTGCGTATTTTCCGGGTTTGTTAGGTTTGGACCGTTGGATGGTCCTGAGATTATAATAAGTTGATCTAGGCAGTACTAGAATCGTATAGGATTCGACGGATCGTAAAACGGAGTCCCGGATACTCCGGATAAACCAACCCTAGGGTTAGGGTTTTTGTAACCGTTCGATCGTCCGATCGTGAGCGATCTGACCGTCCGATCCGGATTAAACTTGGAGCACGTGTGTCCTAGACCTTGTAGGACCTATAGGAATTGTTGGATCGGAAATTGAAGGTCATGGACCCGGGGGCCCGTTTAACCGAGACTGGGTAGTTTGACCCTGGGTTGACCGTGAGACTTCCTAGGTAGTGTTACCTTCCTAGGAAGATTATAATAACCCTAGTGACAGGTCTTGGGAGTTGTTGAATGATATTGATTATGTGGGATTAGGATATCAATTTATGGTGATAAATTGGGGGTTTATTGGATGTTATATTTTGGGGTTGAGGTTGATGCAATAGTGGATTATATTTAAATATATATTAGTATGTTATAAAGATGCTTGAGGGCACTATAAGTGCCACCCTGTGAATTGTCGTTGAGGTGCTTACAATATTAGAAATTAATATATATATTTTTGTATGTATTTATAAAGGTATGAAAAGAGTATAGATTGTCAGTTTGAAGTGCTATACGCACTATCTTAAATACCTCTTCGGTTATGGGTTTTATGTTTGAGATTTATTTTGCCCAGGCCCGTCGGAGATTGATTTATTTTGCCCAGGCCCGTCGGAGTTTGCCCAGGCCCTTCGGATGTCTTCTTAATACGATGCCTTGGAAAGGAAGTGTTAATATTTCAATGTGTTTTTATCTGATTTAGAATTATGATATATCCGAAAGATATAGAGGTTTGGCACAATTGAATTAAGGAAGAAAATATCATTTTATAATGTTGTGATAAGGGTTACGAACTCCACCATCATACGTACCTTCCCTGGTTACTATTCACACACGTGCCGTGTTTCGGGCGTGTGGGCTTTCTTGGTTACGGATCCTGGAATTGTGGGATGCCGGGAATATTATGATATGGTTTGGATATGTTGAAATACGGGGCATCCTTGACGAGATGTTGCCGTGGACCCTGAGGGGTGGTAGTCTGCGCGTGTAGGATTGGTTTTCAGACGTACAAGCTTTGATTTTATCGGCTGTACGTGCTGGCTAAGAGTTAGTCCCCCAGTTGGACGGCTCGTTCCCTAGCCACATGGACGTTTGAGGGCCGGATAATTGTGAGCTAGTCAACAATCCCCTGTTGGATTGTTTCCCCCAGTACATGATGTGCAGCATCACATGTACCTCCATTTGGATACTGATACATGGAAATGGATATGGATCTGCATGGTGAATTGAGGGATTGCTCTGCCATGTGGACTAGTCAAACGATCCCCTGTTGGATTGTTTCCTCTGGTACATGATGATGGTGAGAGGTGTGTGTTATATATGTGTATATGTGGTTTTTGATTCGGGATTGAAATCGTGAGATTGTCCTTTGAGAGGACCTTGTACATGTATAAATGTTTACGCCCCGGTTTGGGAGATGTTGTTCGGCAACGTACGCCTTGGATAGGGTATGGTTGCAGGTTGATTTGATGTAAAGGAAGAGTTTGAGAATGTGTTCATTGTAAATTGATTGGTGATAAATTTGAAATGTATTTGTTGGTTCTGCTTTAATTAATTGTATATTATCGGAGATGTGACTGTTGATATGAAAGAACTACGTGTGGCTTGATCCCTCAGTAAGGGTACGTAGGCAGCCTGGAGTAACTAGGCGCAGCCACGGGTTTAACTCTAATTATGTGTTTTGTTGAGTGTGATGCGGACCTTGTTGTTGGCCCTGAAACTCGTTTGAAATCGAGGTATGTTTAGATTTTGTTCATACTCCCGGTTGGCTAAGGGAGGGTTGTGTAGGTGTACTATTGAATAAAGTGTGTAATATAATGGGCTGAGGCCCTGGAATAAATGGTGATAATTTATAGATGATAATTGATGCATGTTAAAACCTCGTTTGTTGGATTGGGGAAAGTTAGTGGTGAGTTTTGCTTTCGGCAATTATAAGTGTGTTTGAGCTTGTTCTTGCTATGTTTCAGGAAATTTTTATCTAAAGACTTTGTTGGCAGATCTTTTTGGGAATATTTGAAGGCCGGAGGCCAATTAGTTGAATTGCATGTTATTACATTGTGCGTGCTGCCAGTTGTGGTTATTAAATGCGTTTTATGCAGGTGGAAATTTTGGGAAATGTTCAAATTACAAGGGAGATTCTGCCGAATTTTCGACAGAAAGTCTCATGCCCTTACTCCTCTTAAAGAAGGAGGTTACCTGTTTAAGGAGTGAAACCAGCATGGGCGTGATGCTGGGGTCTCCGCAGGATTCGTCTCGGGTTTTGTGAAAAATTCGGGGCGGGTCGTGTCATTACTAGAATAACCAACATGAGAAGGCGGGGTAGGAAGCAAACCTTGTCCTGAAGACAGAGAGACAGACGATGAACCACTGTGAGCTCCCTGAACCCCATAGCCAGAAGATGTATGAGGCACAAACAAAGCAGAATGAGAGGTAAGTCGAGCCTCAGCAGTTTGCTCAGCAGCCAGTAACTGAGCACGAAAATCTTTCAACGAGATTGGCGTATCACGAGCAATCAAGATCGTCTTGATGATGTCGTATTCAGGTGGTAGACCATTTAATGCAGCAATGATAAAATCATCATCAGAAATCTTAGTACCAGCAACATGTAACTGATCACGCAGATGTTTGAGACAAAGAAGAAATCGATCAACGGAATCTCCACCTTTTTGCACAGTCTGAAATTCAGTTTTCAAATGATTGATTCTGGCACGAGAAACCGACGCATAACGATCGGTGAGACTAAGCCAAGCATCCCTGGCAGTCTTACAGCCAATAACATACTCAATTGCTTCGTCAGAGAGAGAAGCAATGAGAAGACTGAGAAGAGCTTTATTAGTGCGCATCCAATCCTTATAAGCAGCAGTGACTTCCGATGTCACTCCCTCTTCATCAACAATCGCAAATTTGGGCGGAGGAAGAGCAGAGCCATCAAAATGGCCAAAGAGATCGTAACCTTCCAGAACCGACTCAATTTGATAATTCCACTTAAGAAAATTATCATCAGTAAGACGAATAGTAAGCAATCCAAGGAGGTGTTCAATTTTGAGAGAAGATGATGAAGAAGCAGACATGGCAGAAATCTAGGGTTGTCTGAAACCAGATTTGTCGAATTTTGAGAAGAAAATTCGTTGAAGAAAGAGGACGAAGACACAGAAGGAGAGAAAAGAACAGAGAAATTGAAGAATTGGAAGATGAAAGTGAAAAGTTAGGGTTATCAGGAACAAGAAATCGAAGAGTTGGAAGAGGAAATCGAAAAAAAAAATTTAGGATTTATCGGGAACAAGAAAAGTTGCAGAATCAATAAGAGATCGAAGAGGATTGGGAACGGAAGCAAGAAAAACAGATCGAACTAGGCTCTTGATACCATGATAACGAAAGTGAAATGTGCAGAGAAAGATAAGGAGGAAGAAAGCTAGAGAGAGAACACATGAATTTCTAAGAGAATTTTACTGGTTGTATTTTCTTAATGAACAATTACTGTACATACCAGCTTTATACAATTGCTTAACAATTCCTAACTGACCACACGATATACACGTGATCTACAGCTACAGATAATATGCTGACTAGACATGTACAGTCATCATCTAGGGCAAGTTGGAAAGGATGCTTTATTATCCCTTTGACGGTAGCTACGACAAGTTGGAAATTGGAATCGTATTCTATATGGTGGATGGGCAGCTTAGTCATACCCAGGGGTATCGGTCGAATATCCTAATTAACTCATATCACTTATAATTATAGATGAACTGTTTAAGAGCACTTCTAGCGTTGGTCTTTAATTTTGGCAACAGGGGCCCAAGCTCCCATTTCACATTCCAGCGGGCTTCTACAACCCTGGCAGCTTATGGGTCCCAGCAAGCCAGGCAAGCCTGCAGGCAAAACCAGCCTTTGCTCTAGCCCCAGTTTGTTGACGTCAGCAATGACATTAGCAACCAAAAAAAAAAATCTAAAAAAAAAAACTAAAATTTTTAGAATTTTAAAAAAATAAATACTTAGTCATTTTTTCACTTTCCACACCAAAACTCTACAAATTTCTCTTATCATATCTCATGTGAATAGTGGCTGTCATGGCAATGAATGGAAACACCACAAGCCTTTTGCAAGGGTTGTCACTATTCACGTGAATAGTAACAGCCATTGCCTCCCCTTGCTCTTTGCCATGGCAAATGGGTAGAAATGTTCTAAGAGTACTTACTCATGCACTTAAATCGTGTATTTCAATACGGTCCCATATTTAATTTCAATATCAATTTAGTTGTGCATGTGTGCGTGTGTGCTTTTGTGCGCAGGGAGAGAGCTTTGTGATGCGTGTTTCCCATTGGAAGGCAGGTTCAGGTTCAGATATTCTATGTGATTATGTGGTGGTGGACATTCGAAATTCTTGGATTGATGTGGAAGCAACCTCAGTGGGAACCAACCACTGCTAGTGCTATCCTTAAAATTTTATTTCAAACTCTTATATGCATGTGTTGAATTTGATGGGGCAACAATTTAATTGTTCAGTAAGTTGACTAACGGACAACAATTTAGTAGATAAAGATGGAGCAAGTAAAGTATTAGACAGTGTGAGAGAGGATGAGAGTGCAACAGTGCCAGCCCCTGTCACAGGATAAGTAACGCCATTGGCATTTGCAATACAGGTTCGTCGAGGTTGTGTAGTATTCAGAAAATCATCAGGATCAAACGTCATATGATCAGTTGCACCGGAATCAATTATCCAACTCCTGGAATCAATCTTATCGGAAGTATGGAATCCATAACCAGTACCATTACTGGCTGTATTGCATTGTCCTCGATCTTTAAGAGTAGCCCACCAATCGGGGTAGCCATGCAATTTAAAACAAGTCTCACGAGTGTGTCTCGGATCACCACAATATGCGCAATCTAGTCCATGTGTCGGTGTCGTTAGTCGAGAAGTCATAATCTGTGCAGCGGAAGATGCATAGGATATAGGTAGAGTAGGAATTCGGATCGAGATATGAGCCTGAGTCGGGGCTAGAGTCGGAGTCGAAATCATAGACAAATTCGGTGTTGTGGTCATCATCGGAGTTGGGGTCGAGATCGTCTTCGGAGTCGGGGTCGGGGTCGTCGTCGTCATAGTCGAGGTCGGGGTTGGGGTCGTCAAAATAGGATCCTGATTCCTGATCGGGTTCGGGGTCATCAAAATAGGATCCTGATTCAGGATCAAATTCGGGGCCAAAGTCTGCATCTGTAGGAGCTGAGCCATTTGGGCACTCAACTCAGGTATGGTTGGTTGAGAAGGAGAGAAGGAGTCGGTGGTGCTACCTCTATGAGGGTTGAAAAAATCATCTACTCCCATAGCGGCGGCGGGGGTTTGAAACTAGAGTCAGTAATTCTAAGATCGCCGCTCTGATACCATGCTAAAATATGAAAACTATAAGAGAATATTTGTTTGTGGGAATTTTCTATGTATTCTTCTCCTTGTAGGAGGTCATATTTATAATACAACAAAACCTGAATGGGCAAGTAAATAATAAATTCCTAAATCTATTTACAGTAGGAAATCAGGAATTAAAGTAAATCAATTACAAATAAAATAGGAATCCTTGGTGTGTAAGGAAAGTAAGTCAATATCCACAAGTCACGCCAACACTCCCCGTGTGTGCTTTTGTGCGCTAGTAGGGAGAGAGCTTTGTGATGCGTGTTTCCCATTGGAAGGCAGGTTCAGGTTCAGATATTCTATGTGATTATGTGGTGTGGGACATTCGAAATTCCTGGATTGATGTGGAAGCAACCTCAGTAGGAACCAACCACTGCTAGTGCTATCCTTAAAATTCTATTTCAAACTCTTATATGCATGTGTTGAATTTGATGGGCCTGTTCAACAAACTGGATAGCTGGCCTGTTATAAATTAGTCTTTTGCAATGGCCCATTAAAATAAAATTTATGACCATGGAAATGAAGCCCAAAATCCATTCGGCTTTTCGGTCACCAGTCTATTTGCATGAACAAAATCAAAATTGAAACCTCCATAGCGCCAACAACCCTATCCCTATGTATTTTGCAATTATTATGTTGTCAATAAAATGTAAATTTTCATCATGGCTCATGTTTCTTGTTGCCATTCGTTATAATGGAAGGGAATCAAACTCTTAACCAAACTGAATCTTAACGCACTTACTTTCGGCACTTAAACTAACCCTAAAGACTTCATTGAATGCGTTTTATTTTTTATTTTTTATTTTTTATCGTTTTCTCTAAGCTATATGGAATGAGAAGTTAGCGAAGGAGGAGGATAACCAATCGCTTTCTCTATTCAAAGCCACTGGCTTGATTGCCGGAACAAAGTCAAGAATTATTTTGTAACGTTATTGGTGTCTCTGTCTTCTTGATTTGATGCTAAACAGCCTTCCTCTAATCAAATTAATTTTTTCTTATTAAAGCCAACGAAACAAGTTAGAATAGCTTTCCTTGGACATGACCATTGCTCATTGTCCTGGTCTATATGTATCGTAAGATGCTGCTCTTCAATCGCTGGCGTACGGTACGGGGCCTCTGTCCAATTATTTCAAGAAAGAATATTCACTAGCTTAAAATCTATTTCTAAATGAGAGCAAGGGGATTTGATTCTTGTACCCCAAAAGAAAAAAGAAACAAGCACAGAAAATTTGCACCCAATTTCGCCTGCTTTGAAGGGTCATATCTATAGAGACTGGATATCAAACAAGAGATCAACATTACTTGTTTCGTATAAACTTACTTGGTTGTCTTTGGAAGTTTATTTTCATCATTTTTCTCCAGTGTGCAACTTTTAGAAGTACACTCAAGTTCTTGGTTCTGTCTTTCAATTTATTTGTAGAAAAGGAAATGGTGTTGCGCATCAAATTGTCAAGTTTGGTTTAGGTAGCGGGGCTTATTTTAATTGGTTTGAAGAGTCTTTAATTTTATTCGAGACGCTTTAAGAAAAATATATATTTATAATTCTATGAGTGGAGGGATCTGACTGACAGTATATTATAGACTCAAGTTTGTCCACGACATAACAATTATATTGTATGGTCAATATATCCGCATTTAATTAAAAATCCTACATGCATGATACATGAATATCTTTGTTTGGTGTGAAATTGACGTATGTAAACCCAAATTAATAACCCACCTGGAGAAAGGTCCTTATTAAAGTGTTCCTGATGCCAGTTGTGATCAATATGCACCCAGTGGACTGTCATGTACAGTACGTTTGATCATTGATCAGTCAAACATAATTAAGTAACATATAATTTCAAAGGAACCGCTTGACTGTGTCAACTCTGATCTAGCATTAAACAAACCAGTACTGTTCAAATATAAAATAAGTTTTATCCTATACATAAAGCAGCCGTGAGTTAGGCAAGTGAATTTGCTCTCCTGTACTCAAGTTCGAGTCCGTTTAAATGAATCTAGAATAATTTATTTAAACTATGAATTGAAAGACAATTTATATAGCCATTGTAGTATATTATTGTAGCAAATTGAATGGGTGATGCATGTTCCTTCCTAGTCTACCATACCCTACCATGCATATATGTCTGCAGTCTCCGGGGGGGCCGCCGGCATTAATAGTTAGAGACAGGGGTCAGGTTTGAATAACATTGGACGGTCCTAACGAGAAAAAGCAAAGTACTAGTTAGCCCAACAACACCAATCTTTTGGTTTTGAGCAAACCAGAAGCTTTAATTATTAACAGGATGGAAGAGGGCCTTTTCTTTTTTTACGCCATCACAGTACAGTGCTGCAGTTGCATGGTAATCATTTCCCTTCAAGCAATTGCTGACGCCATCACAGTCCTTCCCCTTTTTATCCCTTTCTTTCTTTCTTGTGGGTAAAATTAGCAAACCTTTTATATGAAAAATTGGGTCACAAAGTTAGAAAAGAAAACAAAAAGATTTGGGTGATCTAAACACTTTCTCTCGCTAGCCTACTTGCTTCAATTCAAGCCAACCCACCCCCCTTCTTATTTGTAAATTACAATTTCACATGTACATGAAAACCCAAACAAAAAACCATATGTCCGTATAAAAAACTAACACATTAAAGTACACAATGAGAAATTCATGCATACGTATTAAATTGTAATAGAATCCGAAATTAATTTAGGGACAAAATGAGTAAGAATAGGGCAAAATCAAAGCTTTAAACATGGTAAAGGACTTGGCATATAACGTTAGGAATGAAGACAATTTGTAGTGGTAGCAACTGACCCCGTTCGACATAATGTGGCTCTGCCATTGTTTTTCTGTCACACTAGAAGGGAAACAAACAATTGATTGATGTATCTTAATCGTAACTCATATTTATTCCATCATCGTCACTTGGATTAAGTTAAGTTTTTTTTCTCTTCTTTCCTTTGTTAAGCATGTCCATGCATTTTTACCCAGTAAACTTTCATGTGTGGTGCTTTCACTCTCGAGTTAGAAAAAACAAAAATGAAATTGGAGCGTTTTTGTACTGAGAGTTGGAAAATAAATGCCGAGAGTGGAAAATTGTTATAGCGTGCATTTAAACGGGTCAGTGTTTGGCCATATAATTGCAAAGTCTCTGTGATTTTGACTACTTCAATCAAACTCCGTTCCGTCGAGGGAAGGGGAGAGAGTACACTACAGGCTACAGCAGACTCCGGCGCTAGCTCTGTTGTAATGTAAGAGAAGTCTTTAGTTAGTGTCTCAACCAAGCAAAAGATTTGGTCTTGGGAGTTTTTGTAAGGCACAGAACGTTGGCATGACGAAGCCCCCTGAATATATATAATGTATATAAATATATATTGATCCTGTATAAACAGTAGCTAGCTAAGCTAGGAAGCTGTTGTGTCATTAATTAATAATCTCATGTGTCAGAGACTAAATACCTCGTGCAGCAGCTACCTCAACTCCTGTTTCGATGTCGAGATAATCAAATCAGCTTAAGATTGGGAAAAGACCAATTTGGATTGAAGTAGATTAGGCATGACGATTACATCTAAATCTAACTGTAAATTGGTCGTGCTATTTTTCAGTCCAACTAATTAATTTGGTCTGTAGTTTGATTTTCTGTTGAAAGCTATCATTTTTGTGACATTTGTTGCTTAAGTCTTTGACTAAACATGTGTGTATGTAGTGGGCGATAGTAAATACTTTTGTATTCATTAGATGTGTTGGTTGATTTAATATGCAACATACCAGCAATTCAACGATTTAAAAATATGTAACCAATTCTCAACATAAAATACTTACCGAAACAAACCACATATTATTCGAGAATTTAAATATATATGTTTATTTTTCAATGAGACATTTTCTTAAAACAAGCTTTATATAAGAGATGTCAATCAGACTAAACCTTTTCTCTAAGAAAGAAAAATCGAAAGGACGCTTTTATAAAAAGGAGATTCACTATTGTTGAAAAGTTAAAAGTGAATTTAATTAGAAAAACATAATTAGTTAACAGAAACAAACCACACACTATTTAAATTTAAATTTAAATCTAGTAAGTACAACCAGAGCAGGTAAAATTGAAGAAAAGATTATGAAGCTAAAATTGTTCAATCAACGCATCATTAGCAAGGAGATTATGGGGCCTCTTATGTCATACCTACTGACTAATTAATATGCCCAATATATATTCTTGTTTAACAGAAAAGAGGTCAATGGGATTGTTCTTCAAAACTAAAAAGAAGTATTCGATATCGAAAATGAGGAAGGTGGCTCCTGCCTTTGCCCAAATTGGTTGGTTACGTCCTGTAATCTTAACCTAATAGACATGCACAATCACGACTTTAATTAATTGCCTACCTCTTTTGGCTTATGCTTTTAGAATCCCTAGTTACACCTTTTCTCTTTAAATCAAGCACGCAAGTATTATATAGTTTTTTTTTAAACTTTTGATTGCATTTCTAAAAGTTGAGTTAAAGGAGCGTGCTTTTTGTTTAAAATTGAGTGTCCACATCAGCAATTAGTGAAAAACGTATACCCCCAAAAATTTAAAGGAAAAGAAAAGAGTTGGATTAGAATATTATATTGGGTTATATTTCAGCTAATCTAATGCTAGAACCCTTTAATCCACAATAGTGATCGGGGTGATTATGGATTAAATAGCAATGCCAAAAGAATCCATTATTGATGGATAAAGAGGATCCATTATCAAAAATCACTGAAGAATTCGGCGCAGAGTATTCGGTGTGGAGTATTGACCGTAACACAACTCTTCTCTTTATATCAGCTCATCATTATTTAACGTGAATAATTTATGCCCATATGCAAAAAGTAGCACGATTAAGACATTTGTCATATGTTACAATTATCCACATTTTGTGAATTTAAACCACACGTGGATAACAATTTTGTATTTCATCTGATTTTGGTGAGAATAGAAGATGGCAAACTTTCAATCTAGTAGCCTAATTTTTATCATTACTTGGAGGAAAAGAATAAGAAAGAGTATGCAAGGTTTATTTATCCTTATTTAATTTTGGGGTTACAATTATTATTGTTATTATTATTATTATTATTATAGAAAAAAGAAAGGAAAAGGATAAAAGAAGAAAACCTCGTAAAGCGAGAAGGATAGAAGTGAAGGAAAAGAGCTTTTGGCGGATGGAGTGTGGAGAAGGGCAAATTCAGCCTTTCATTCATCACACACACACTCCCTCTGTTCCCGCGTTCTCACGTGCGTCATCACCACCCAATTACAGAATACTTTTTACCCAAAAAAACAGTAATAAACAAAAATTCAAACAAATAATTTACTGAAAAAGAAATACATCCGAAAACGACAACACCTCAAACCTGTCAGAAATATCTGCCACCACAGTTAGTTCAATTATTACCGGAAATAGCCGGTCGTCCTCCGGTTGCTCGAAACCCTATGCTCTCTCTCAGCTCCAGCAGCTGCAACAGCGACAGCAGGGCAGGCCCTCGCTCTCGCTCTCTCTCTCTCACTCCTCTATGTTTGTAGGTTTAGAGAGAGAGAAAGCGACTGTAAGAAGATTTTGTTTTTGTGCAAAATCTGTGTGTGAGTGAGTGAGTTTCTAAATATTTACTGATATCGATAAGTGTTTGTGTGTTTTCTATGCGCCTCTCTCTCTTTCTCTCACTCAAACTCTCAACTCTCTGTGTTTATATATGAGGATGCGTGAAGTGAGCAAAACCCCCCAATCCCCAATCCCCAATCAATTCACGTATATCTCTCTGTCTCTGTCTCTCTCTCTTCTGCAAGCCATGCTTGTTGCTCAGTAGAATAAGATCATCATCATCACCATCCATCATCATGATAAGATAGCCTTTCATCTCTTTTCACTATTAATTTCTCTCATCTCAGATTCTCACCCCACCCCTTAATTAATTAGCTACACCCTCGCAACGCTCTCTCTCTCTCTCTCTTTGTAAAAGAGCTATCTATAGCTTACTATGGCTGAGGGTTTTGAGCCCTACCATGTTCCTCAACAAAGCAGAAGAGAAAAGCTCCGGGTCCTCGCAGGCCAAGCCCACCCGGGTTGTCTTCAACCCGACTCACCTCCTCCGCCTCATCACCATCTCCACCCGGGTAATTGTGCTGCTTCTGGTTTCCTTCCTCTCCCCTACGATCCTTCCTCCTCCTTCATCTCCTCCTCAGATTTGCTCACGTGCGAACCCACCCCAGCTTCCCCCGTGAAGCCAGAAGGTCAAGTGCATCATCATCATCATCATCATCCCTTGATGGGTTTTGTTTCCAATTCCTCTTCCTCTTCCTCAGCCTCTACCTTCCGCAACCATCTCAATTACTTGGATCCACAGCCCTCCTCCATTAATTTCCCCATAAATCCCACCTCCATTCACGACATCAACGCCAACCCTTTTCTCTACCCACCGCAAAACCTCCAAACCCTCAGAGATTTCGACCACCAAGCCGACTATGGCCATGATCAAGTCGTGGTGTTCAAGCCAGAACCATTATCTCTATCCCTCTCTTCTTCTCAACCCCCCCACCACCACACCCACCAAAACAACAACAACAACAATCTCCAGAGATATGGGGCTTCTGCTGTTAACTACAGTTCACTTAATTCAGGCGTCAATGTTGCTTCGGCCTCTAACGAGAACATTGGGTCCAGAAGCTCGGTTCCTCTCGGACCCTTCACGGGCTACGCTTCGATTCTGAAGGGATCTAGATTCTTGAAGCCCGCGCAGCAGTTGCTAGAAGAGTTCTGCGATGTGGGCAACCGAGAAATTTACACTGCCAAAGTACTTGCTGATTCGTCATCGTTTTTCGACCCTCCTAGTATCGAGAGCTTCAGCCCAACTCATGTCGTCGACGACGACGACGACCCGCTCAGTGTCGGAGGGGACGGAGGTGAGAGCAGGAGAAAAAAATCCAGGCTAATTTCCATGCTCGACGAGGTACGCAATTAATTCTCCCATTCCCATTTGCATTTTAATTTAATTTCTTGCTTTGGTTTGTTTGTTTGTTTCCCCAATAGTTGTTTTTGATGTAGTCTAGATCTTCGTTGGAGATGTGTCTTTTGGATTTATTTATGTATGATTTGATTGTTCATTGGTTACTGGTCAAAGTACAGACATGCGCGCGGTACTTATTAACTTGTGTAAACTTGAATTAGCTTTATATTATTTTGATTATTATTGACCATACTTAACTTAATAATAGATTCTTGCATTAAAGGAAGTTAGGAGGAAGGATGTTAGATGGCGTTGGTGATTTTCAAAAATCGGCTTTTTGGAAAAGTTGATTAGAGGAGGGAATATATGCGCTGAGATTTTTGCTTATAAAGCATCTGACAGCCATGGAATGAGTTCCTAATACGTGACAAAGTCTCAAGTTTTGGCCCGAAAGCAGTGGAGCGAATCCGTTTGAAAATAGATTATATGGAAAGCATAATTGTTTTTTGAAAAATTAAAGATATAAACTCAGGCACCAAATTCTCGAATATGAATGAATGGAAATGGGATATAATTCCTCCATGTGCATGTTTCATATTTGGTGCATGTAGCTTTCTTTTTCATCATGATATCTCTCACTCAGAACTCAACTTGTTTGCATTTACTGGGTGTGGTTGGCCATGATAAAGAAAGAACCAGTGACTCTCATGCTATGTTTTTGAATGCTCTACATGTATTCAATGCAAATTAATATCTCACTGATTGAATATCGATCCTAGAATTAGTGTTGAAAAGTTTAAGCTCACAAACACATGATATGGTGCATGGTTGAAGGTTTTTGGCATGCCTATAATCTAGATGAGGTGCTCTATTTTGGGAGATGCTATACATTTTGATATGCGAGAGGTAATCAAATTCATGCTTTAAACCCAGGAAAATTATGGGACAAATACTCTTGTTCAGTGGTTGATCGATTAACTTGTGGGGAAGGCTAAATGAGCAGATGAATGTGATTTGTAATCGAGTGATTAGTGAGATACATTTTTGAATACGTCTAACTAAAGTTACCGGCTTCACCGTTGATACAAATATTTTAAACCCAATTTGTCAAAGATGTGTGGAGGAATTAGACAAATTAATGGAAGAAGATCTCACCCCTATCAAAATGTTTACTTTAATATATAAGTTGCAATAAAACATATGGAAAAGTCAACAAGAGATATGTTAAATTAGCTTTACCTAAACTGTCATTATATTCTTATTTTCTACATCTAGAATACTATGTTTTTTAGGACCTTTCCTATTCATAAGTGCGATAATATGCTAAACCCACACACGCTACATGGATGCTAGAAGCTCATTTTTCACTATATTGGGGTGGGGGTTGCAGTACACTTGAGGTGTTTTTAAATTTCTGGCTGGGTTTGTACTTCAAGATGGACTTGTTATCCATTGATCACGGCATGGATTTGATTGAATTTGTTGTTATATAATTCTACTTATTTCTGACATCCCAAAGATATGTTAAGTAGATGAAAGTGTAAACTTTGACTTCCAAGTTTAGCAATCTCCATGCATTTACGTTGTTTCTTTCTTGGTAAATCTATATTATTTACAAAAGGTTATTTAAGAGTACTAGTTAATTAATTGTTTTTTGTTGTCCATTAGGTTTACAGAAGGTACAAGCAATACTATCAACAGATGCAGGCAGTGGTAACATCATTTGAGTATGTTGCTGGGCTTGGAAATGCAGCTCCCTATGCAAACTTAGCAATAAAGGCCATGACTAGACACTTCAAGTGTTTGAAGAATGCCATCACTGACCAACTTCAGTTCAGAAATAGGGATGCTACTCAGTTAAGCCATGGAAAAGATGAAAGTCAAATGCTTCGTAACACTAGAGGATTCTATAATCAAAGATCCATTCACAACTCCGACTTTGTCGAGCACCAACCTGTTTGGAGACCTCAACGGGGTCTTCCTGAACGTGCCGTTACTGTTCTTAGGGCCTGGTTATTTGAACACTTCCTGCATCCGTAAGTAATTAATTAGTGCCTGGTCAGCTTGTTATATTCTTCTTCAATGGACTAATATGAAGCTTGATACCCTAAATCCTCATGTGTTTATTGTCTGATATATTGGTGTTTCTCTTCACTGCTTTTATGTTGCAGTTACCCTACTGATTCGGATAAACTAATGTTGGCTAAACAAACTGGTCTATCACGGAGCCAGGTGTGTGACATCAATCCTCTATAATCATATCACCATATTATAGTTTTTGAAACACATGTTCAATCAAGTTTGATGTTGTGAATCAGGTTTCAAATTGGTTTATTAATGCAAGAGTAAGGCTCTGGAAACCGATGGTGGAAGAAATACACACGCTCGAAACACGGCAAGTGCAAAAAACTTCACAGAGGGGAGATCAAAGTGCGAACAGGTCAATTGATGATCATTTACCTTCACCAAACTCCCTTGCATCTGAGAATCCATCCACAACCACCCACCGGGTTCAAGACAGCTTGTCGAAACGCACAAGAAATGAACTTCCTGATCACATCACTATGGGGAGTAGTACTGATCAATTGAACTTATCATGCAATAACTTGCCAAGCCATATGCATGTGGGTCATGTTGGTATGAACATGGCTGGGGGAAGTAGTAGTGGTGTTTCTCTAACACTGGGACTTCACCAAAATAATGGTATTGGTTTGTCAGAACCCTTTCCTATTAATGCAGCTCAACGTTTTGGCATTGGCCTCGATGGCAACAATGACGGCTACGCAATGGGTGGTTTTGAATCTCAAAATCGACATTTCGGAAGGGATGTCATGGGAGGGCAACTTTTGCACGATTTTGTGGGATGAACATGTAAGGCATATCCGGACATCATTGAATTGGAGATTATATACTAACAAAATTGCAGTTAGATGTTCATTTATCAAGCCAGAATCCAAGTTGAAATTACAAGAGTGGTTTGAATGGTTGGTTTACCCTATTATTGTGGTGTTAGCTAGAGGTATGTTCATTTTGTCACATCCCACTGTATATTTTTCTCTTGAAAATACTCCGGCAATGCAAATGTTTGGTGTTAAATTCATATGTAAATTTTTATTTAATTATATATGATAAGAAAAATGTGCTTCAGCTAGTGTAAAATGATTGCCCTAAGTTTGCCACCAGGCACGTCATGACTGGGTATGAATATTCGTGTGAGTGAATGGTCATGTCGAAATTGAAACCAAGTTTGGGATACTCGACACTCAAGTTTTGTTTTGCTATAGTTGCAGTCAATCTCGTGAGCATATGACTTTGCCTTTTTCCTGTTTTGCCAATAGGTTTTTAGTACAGAAATTGAAAACCGACTTGTTCCTGAGTTGACGATGGGCCATCTGCTGGAATTTTTTACGTACTTGCTTGGTAATTGCAGCCATGCAGCTGCTATTAAAATGTATGAAAGTATACGATGTACAAATTCCAGGCTACAGCGAAAGGGCAAAGTGCACAGCTGGAGAGAAGAGGACTCTGCCATTTATTTCTGTTTGTATCATTTCTATAACTCTAGGTGAACTGTGAACATCAAAACATAAAATGGACAATCGTACTTACTTCAGTGAATACTGTTTTTTTCAACACGAGCGATATTAGAGATGTGGAAATCGAACACTAAATCTCAAGTAAGGTGAACCCGTTCAGCTACAAGAAGCTCATTGCTCCGTGATTGTTCACATTGGGCATTTTGTGTACGCACTTACCCAGGTGAAATGGATCTATACTTTCTTGAGATCATGGCATTAATAGATTAAATAGGAAGATATGCCCTTTGTTCTAGGTTACATATATGGTATATGCCTTCCCTAAAGACTAATAGTGAGACTTGGGTCTTAACCTAAGAAAAACTAGGGCCCGATTCAAGGCCTATATAGAAGAAGCCCAAATTTACTGTGACCCATTACTCTCATTTCCTAATCGGGTTTGAAGCTATCTGTTATTCTTCCTTTTTATTTATTTTGGAAAAACTTTAAAATTTACTTCAACTAAAAATTGGGATTCTTAGAACATCTACAGTGAGAGGGTGTATTTTCGGGGGTGTAAAGCTACTTTTAGACCTCAAAGGGTTGTAAAATGGTTTCTCCACGGGTTGTAACTATGGTTTTTGCTCCAATGAGAAAGATGTAAATTTAAAGATGTATAATTGATTTTTTTGTTTTAATTCGTTTTTGTGTTAACTTTATAAAATTAATTTTGTGTGTGTTAGTTTATTGTATTTTTTCAAACAAATAGACCTAAAAATATTTAACTTCGAAGAAGATATGATTTCATCCAAAAATAATAGTAGATTTCATCCAAAAAAATTTAAATAGACCTAAAGCTGTTGGATGTTGGCTGGTTTTTTTTTTTAAATAAAAAAAATAAAAATACAAGAATTGCATCATTTAATTTTGCAATGCAGCCGTTGGGGAGATGACATCCTATGGGCATGGGCCCACATATGAAGTTTTGGTCCAACAACTACTCTAGCCGTGCGTCTTGGGCAAGTGGGTTTCATTCAATAACTTTTTTGCTCAGTTTTGTCTATCTTTTCTCATATTTTTTTTCATGTAGTAAGAGCATTCATAATGGGAGGGTGTATAATGAGGTGTATATTAAATATACACCATTTGTAATCGGAATCATCCGCATTGGAGATGTGTAAACGAGTGTAAATTTGCATCACTACCATGAGATGCAAATTTAGATGCACATATACATCTTTTTTTACATCTCTTGCAAATGGGACCTACATGAAAAAAGGTGAGAAAAAGTGGGACCTACATCAGAAAATGTGAAATAAATCAATTATACATTTTTAAATTTACATCTTCCCCACTGGAGCAAAAATCACATTTACAACCCTCGTATGTGTAAAGGAGATGTAAAAGTGACTTTACACACTCCCACTGTGAATGCTCTAAGGGATGTAAAAAAAGATATACATGTGCATCGAAATTTACATCTCATAGTGGTGATGCAAATTTACACTCGTTTACATCTCCCTATTGGGGGTGATTCCAATAACAAAATGTGTATATTTAACATACACCTCATTATACAAACCTCCATTAGAGATACTCTTATATAGTTTATTTTCGACTGGGAAAACTTTAATGTCTCTTGGGTCACAACACGTTTGGGCTTCTTCTGTTGGTTACCAGTTTCTCTTTGATGGTTATCGACTTGCCTTGATGGAGCAATTTGTGCCTGTTGGATTATGTGACATTTGTTATTTGTGTTAGGTTTCCGGGAGCTTCTACAATGAGGAGTTAAAGTGAGGAGACCGATCCGACCGTCAAAACATTTAAAATATTTAAGTCCCATGATTTCTTTACATTTGTTGATGGTGAGATTTGACATCTTCAAATAACCTCCTCACTTTAAGCCCTCATTATAGCCTTTCCGTAGATTTCCTAATGTGTTTTGTGGGCCATTGTCTTTTATGAGCTTTTGCTGTTTGTTGGATTTTTGCTTCTATATTGGTTTTATGCTTCTATGTACGCAAAGCTTCATGCATTTTGTAAATTTTATAACTGTAATGGGCTCTATACCTTTTTGTGTTGCATTTGGTGTAAACTCAATTTCTTGAGTTCATTTTGGTGTAACTGACTTTGAACCTTTATTTAATTAAACTCGATTTTGACCACCAAAAAAAAGCAAAAAAAAAAGGATTCTTATATACTTTCTTTTTGGCCGGGAAAACTTTAATGTCCGAGTATAACTTAGGCAAGACAATGGTCACCCGAACCCAAATCCGACATTGGAATTCGTTGCTATGCAATCTTCAACTTGTTTTAGTTCATACAAAACTCAATTTAAATAAGGATGACAGGTGAGCAGAAGGAAAGTCAATGAAACATGACAAACCTGTAAGGTTCGTCCAAAACACTTTGGCGTGGTTGGGAATTTTCCTCGTTTGTAATGAGTTGCACGAGGACAAGGAAATGTGACAAGTATTTACAACGCACTTGTACGGAACCTAACATAAATAACGTGTCATAGTCAAGGCAGTATGGAAGGGTTGGTGCAAATTGTGGGGAAATGACACTTCAGAAGACTTAGGAGGGACAATGGAAATATTTTATAGCTTGCTCATGTAACAAATTTTTTGTCCAACACGTTATTTTGAAATTTCCAATGTGCACAGGTTGTTTTGAAGTGCCCCGCATGTTATTCAAGACGGCCTCTTAGATAGTGGCGGCAATTAGAGTCAAATTTTATGTTTTTTTTTTTGTCGTCTTCAAAATTTCTAATGTAATTTTACATGTCTTTCTTGTCTCTTAAAATTGTCCAAAAATTCAAGAAACTAATTAAAAAATGAGGTACATTAGAATTAAAATTAAACCTAAAGTTTATAAATAGATAGAATTATTTCATAAACCCCCAAATTCTAAAGTTGAGTAAACAAAGGGAAAGAAAAGCGAGAAGAGCATTTGGAAAGTTAGTAGTCTCATCGTCCGTAGCACGCAGAAAAATGTTCCACATGTGAAGCGCGTCCACACTTAATAGGAAAACCAGTCTAAACCACAAGGTAAGTTAACCCTCTCCTCCTGTTAGGGTTTTCGCTTCTCTTCTCTCAAGAGGGTCTCTCTGGACTCTGTCTTCTTCTTCGTCGTAAGATTTTTCCAACTCCGTGACCACACAGTTTCACTCAATTTCAGATTCTATAAGACTCTTCCAATACCGCCCAAACCCATGCGAGATCAGCCAAGCTCGGCTCAACCCAATTTTACAGACGGGGAAAGATTGAAACTTGCGTAGAAATAAGATAGAGATAGAGGGTTTGTGAATATGGAAGCTCGAGTTGGGGTCGTAGTGGAAGGAAAGCAGAGAGCTTTAAATTCAGCTCAGGGAAGCGTGGTGGATGGAGGTGCCAGGACATTTTTACAGCAACAGAGCCAAGCAAAGCAGTCTATGAATCAATCGGCTCAGGTAGGCACGGTGAACCAGCTCTTAGCTGGTGGTATTGCTGGGGCTTTTAGCAAAACCTGTACTGCACCTCTTGCTCGCCTCACCATCCTCTTTCAGGTTTTCTCTTATTCCTTTTGCTTTTTTTTTTTTTGGCGCTAATTTAGCGGGAATTTTTTTGGGATTTGGGTTTTGGGGGGTTTGTTTTTTCGGGCTTTTTTGTTTTTTGGGGAGGTTGTCATAGGTAGGGGTTTGCTGAAATAGTGTTCAAGTTGGGGCTCTGTATTCTGATTTGGGATATAAAGTAAAGGGTTTTCTTTTTTGAATTTTAAATTTTAGTTTCTTGGTCGAGGGTTGAGAATTTGGCAAAAGAAAATGCAGGACATGTTGTGCTGAAGCTTAATTGCTTTTGTTTGGATTGATGTTAGTTCAAGAATGTTCATGGTGGGAAGTTCATTCTATTCCTATATGTGTTTAACCTGTTTATTTTGCTCTATACTTAAAGTTGGCTATCGTCCTTATTTTGCAATTAATTACCCAAAGGGTGGACAGCTCTACATCATTGTGTGTTAGTATGGGGTTTCATGCACTTTTCCTTTGATTGGTTACCAACGTTTGTTTTTGAAGGTGGTTAGTTGACTGTTCCGTCATTTACTTCTATTAGGTGCAAGGAATGCACTCTGATGTTACAGCATTGAGTAAGGCCAGTATATGGCATGAGGCTTCACGTATTGTAAATGAAGAAGGGTTTAGAGCATTTTGGAGAGGCAATCTGGTTACTATTGCTCATCGCCTTCCATATTCTTCCGTCAGCTTCTATGCTTATGAACGCTACAAACAAGTCAGTGGATACATGCCTCTTCTGAATTCTAAGCTTGTTGAATTGACTGATGTTTTAGCCTTGCAGCTTGCTTTTATTTCATCTGACCTGTTCTTATATTGCAGTTGCTGCATTCACTTCTTGGCGAAAATCTTAGGGGCAATGCAAGCACGGACATGTGTGTGCACTTTCTTGGTGGTGGGATGGCAGGATTAACCGCTGCCTCAGCCACCTATCCACTGGATCTTGTGAGGACACGTCTTGCAGCTCAGGTACTGCTCAGATATTGCAGGTCTTGTTCATTAAGTTTGGTCTTAGGTATGATTTATAACTGTCCATCCTTGTATTTTTTCAGTTTGATTTTTATCAGTGTATTCGAATTTTGTAGAGAAATGCACTATACTACAGAGGTATTGGGCATGCATTTCATACAATTTGCAGAGAAGAAGGTTTTTTGGGATTGTATAAAGGACTTGGAGCGACACTGTTGGTATGCTTTATTATGAACCTGCACATTCTTCGTTGCTTTATTTTGTTAACACTAATTTCCATTTGGTTTATTCCTGTGGCACAGGGTGTTGGGCCCAGTATAGCAATAAGCTTCTCAGTTTATGAGGCTTTGAGGTCTTTTTGGCAGTCTGAAAGGTGAATACTGCATAATTGGTTGATTTGGGGCTGAAGTTTTTTGAGTGATGTTTATTGCTCCCCTATTCGTTTGAGTTGTAATATTGTAGTTTTCAATTCTTCTGATATCAGGCCCAATGATTCGACTGTCATGGTCAGTCTTGCCTGCGGCAGCCTTTCAGGCATTGCCTCATCAACAGGTAAGTGATCTGTGGAGGATTTATTTTCACAAGGAAAAATACTTTACAAATTAATGCTAGTTTGGACCATCAAAAGATGGATCACTATAATAGAAAATTGTGACATGATGCACAGTGGAGGATTTATTTCCACAAGGACAAATACTTTACAAATTAACAAAAACTTATATACTGATGTAGTTTATGAACAATACTCCTTGTATGATGCCTTTAAATCTCGTATAGTTTTCAGATACAGATAGATGGCAAAGTATGTTAGGGCTTCCAATTGATTTGTTTAGGATCTAGCAATAAGAATTTCAGATTTATTGTTCTTCTGTGTGATTATCTTTTGGTCTATTTGTTATTTCAGCAACGTTCCCTCTGGATCTTGTGAGGCGAAGGATGCAGTTGGAGGGGGCTGGTGGTCGAGCTCGCATCTATAATACCGGCTTAGTTGGGACTTTTAAGCACATAATCCGGACTGAAGGCCTACGGGGCTTGTATAGAGGGATTCTGCCAGAATATTACAAGGTTGTCCCCAGTGTAGGCATTGTCTTCATGACTTACGAGACACTGAAAATGCTTTTGTCGCGCATCCAAACAAGTGACTAGTTGCCTCTAAATTTCCCGTTTTCCACCATTGGTCATGCCATGGAATTCGCGAAATCACCGGGGTTTCCAACATATGAAGGTAGGGAAGAGGATAAAGTTGGTTAAACACACAACATAGGTAGAAGAATAGTTGTGGTAGTTGAGAAATATTTGGTGGTAAATTTTGCTGTTGCTGCCATGTGACCATATTTATTTCTGTATAGGAAGTTTAGTTAGCTGCATGAGTTACAACATGCTCCCATTTTGATATAATTAGGTAGCAACCTAAGTATTCATTGATGATTACCATCGTATTAATTTTGTTGTTCCAGCTCCTTTGTTATGTTCCATTTTTATTTCATTTTATTGAAGTCTACAGTCAAATGACATGTTAAAGCTGTTATGAACTGTTGCTGAGTATCAAGATGATACTATTTTTGGAAATTTATGTAGAAGGGGGAATTTTATATATTTATTATACCTGAAGACTCGAGAGCTGACTGGAATTGCCAGCAATTTCTTCGTTTTACATATTGTGGCCAATCATCGTGAATGCTTGGTTGGTTTTGCTTTTAATGGTAAGAAACATCATATGTTGTAAGAAGCATAAGCCTAAAAGTAGTTTGCACTTTTTGTGTTTAACGTCCCCAACCATCTTGGATCTCCAATATCATCATTTGTTTTCTTCTCTATAACCGTTTGCATCTCGTGAGAAGTTTAAACATGCGTGCATCGTTAATCGAATTGTTACCTTCCAAGTTACACAGCTCTGTTTAATTTTTTGTTTTTCAGGTGAGCCACATAAAAGTTATTTAAGCAAATATAGTAAAGGTGTATTGCAAACTAGTGGTTTCAAATTCGAACCCCTATGACATGTTGGCAATGTGCGTGAGAAAACCCACCTCCCCCCTCCAAATTTTGACAAAAGTTAGGTGAATTCCCAAACAGTTAAATTGGAAAACGAACACTATAAAAAGAATCGATAACAAACAAAAGAGTTTCGGGGAAACTTGTTAACTTTTCTTTTATACTGCTACTCTCAAGGGTTTCAGGGATTTTGATGAAAAGTTTGGTCGTGCTCATCATATTCTTAAGATTTCTAAGTAAACCAAGCAAAATGAACGATAAGAGATGGTCCTTAATGCCACGTATATCTCAAATCGAACTTTGTAAATGACAGAGAGAGAGGGGAAAAACTTGCAGAAATTCTAAGAACAAAGGTTTACACTTTTACACTTGATTTTGGGGATATATTCTCTAATTATTTTTCATATAATCTTTATTTATCTCATGAGAATTTCTTTAATATACTCATCGGATTGTTGCATCTTTTTTGTCGTTTAGCATAAAAGATGATGGACTAAAAAACTAGGGCAATGATTTCTCCACTCATATTTTATCCACTTACACTCTTTTTTTAGTTATAAAAAAGGAGTGTAAGTGTATAAAATAGGAGAAAAAGGAGTGGGGAAATCACCACTAAAAAACTATATAATTAAGGATGTGCAATCTCTCTCCAAATCAACCAAATATTTTCAATTAGACTAAATAGTTAATCTAGGATCATAGCGTGGTTCTTACTGTCGATGATGGTACTTAACTTTTAATCAGACACCAACGGTGGTGGACATTTTATTAATTTAGTATTGTTGGGAATACTATTAAGCAAAAAAATAATTGAATAAAAAGTTCATAATTGGTAACCCAAGAGCAGAGAGTATCAGATCACAGAGAGATGCCATTGGCAAAGGAGCTTTAAGGTTTGATTCAATTCTCCTCTGCTTTGCGTGAACCTATAAACAATACAAAACTGGCCCCACATTGAATACCAAGTGTAAAGAACACATGGAGGAGGGTGTTTGATTGGTCCTTGCAGGCATTGCTCATCATGCTTATGCAACTCTATCACTCAAAAGGATTCTCACCATTTTCTTTTTTTGGACAGATATATGGATCTGCAAAATAACTTGGAATATAATCTAATTTCATTTCAGTGAAATTAAAAGTGTTGGATATCATTTTCATGGTCCTAGAGTTAGAGGGCCATGGTGGGAATATGTGTATTGTCTGGAAGTTGGCATCACAGCACAATATTATTATTGCATATATGCAATATAAAACTCCATAAATATCAGCAAGAGTTTCAGGGAAGCTCCTATCATAAGTTTTATACTTGTGGAAAAAGTAACCCAATTTGGCATCTATTCTCATGTCGGAAGAGAGAGTGTTGCAGATTTAGGCAATCAAAAAATGATCAGGAGGGACCATGACTGGCTCACATTTTAGCCGTACATCTTCCAGAAACCAAAAAAAAAAAAAGAGACTCAATCCTTGCCATTGTTTTGGCCTAAATAATGCATGGTCCAGCCATTTTCCACGCCACTCGAGCAATTTGCATGCAGCTGAGCCAGAACACACTAATTAATTTTTGTTGTGCTAATCATTGATATTGCATGCTGTGACAAGACCAGCAGTTTCATCTTAATGTGTTTATTATGCAGAAACATGCTTTCTGTGAAGGAAGTTGAGTTTTCACTCCAAAATCATGGTATCAGAGCAATATTTCACTTGTTGGGCCCACGTCACCCAATATGTGTTGTCCACGTGTTAAGCTTGAAAGTTCGCCATACGTATGGGGGGCGTGTTGAGAGTGTTTGTTCCACATTGAAAAATTAAGGGACTTAACTTGGGTTTATATCCCATTATCAATTGGTTTTGGGGTTGAACTTCTACTTCCTTCTTTTTGCATGCTTTAGAGTAGAAATAACCAGTGATATTTTTTTAAAAACTGAAAATGGACATTGAAGGCTTATATTGGCTAGACTTTATGATAATTTAGTAATCTGTTAGCCAAGTTTACAAAAGAAAATTATCTGTAGCTATCTATCTCAAGCTTCTGCCACCGAAAGCTCTGAGTTGGGGGAGGCACCTTTCATTTCAGTAGCTGAGGGAATAAATTATGCTGCTGCTAAAAGCTGATTGAGACCATGAAATCTGCTGCAACATGTAAAGGTGGTACCGCTTTCCTTTTCAGTTCATCAGCTTTGAAAGAGAGAGCTTAGCTATTCTTGAAGAATACTGAACAATACTTACTATTCTTGGGCTGTTTCAAGCCAAGTATTGATAACAATCTTACAAAAAAAAAAATTGTTGAGAATATTTTATAATAGCCAGAGGAGATCTCTAAATTCTCCTCAAAAAGCAGTCAAGGAAGAGACATCATTGTTTTTTTGAAAGTTCCTGTGTCTACCTTTACCTTATCATTTGCTTTATTTATACACCCTCGTTATTTTAACATATACTTGCAGAATATACCGTCACCACTATAAATACAGAATGCCATCATGCAGATTGTCCTCACACCTCCTTGCTACCAAACCACCTCCTATTGAACTATATTTTGTTTCTTCTCTATCATCTATTCTTCATTAATCATTTCTTCATAGAGTTGATACAACGATTTTGGGTTAGGATCGGGTAATCTGCATCCTGAGGTTTAGATCAGCACATATACTTGTTGTAGCTGGTCCTTGGGATGCGGATTACCTCGTCCTCACCGCCAATGCAAGACTTGTTAACCTAATGAAGCTAAAGCACCTGATGCACGTTTTGGTTCTTTTATGTTCTTTGTTTGTTTCTGCATTTTCAGGTCACATCCCTTACATTGCTCAGGTGATCCCTTATGTTCTCTGCAATCAGGATTGAACACGAGCTTCAAAAAATCGATGTCATTGCCCAGGTGAGGTGCTGGCTTACTGCAGAGGTCAGATTGCTGTGCACTGATCAACTTTTCTGTTTGTGGTACGTATCAACTAGTGAGATTTTTTTGGACTCTGGTAATTAGATCAACAGTAGTTAATCTAATAAGCATAAGAATGTGCACATTCTCTTATGCTTATTAGAGAATTCCTCATTGGACGAAACTTTTTATATCTATCTGCAAAATTATCAGCAAATTTTTAGATCTTGAAATTAAGTTGATGGCTACTTAAATTTATAATATAACTTTTTCAAGTGACGCAGCACCCTTGAAGACAGATTCACAGTACACGAAATTTTGGTTGTAAATTATGTTGGAGGCAGCTTTCGATTATTGTATCAAGAGCTTTTAGGCAAGCTTGTTGCGTTGGACTACCATAAATTCATCTGGTTTTCCAAAGCCACCCAAAAGCATGGATTTTTCTCTTGGTTGCTCTTGGATGGCAGATTCAATTTATGCTCTTTTTCAGGAATGGGGAAGAACCTAATAGCCTCTCTTTTATTGATGTTGTTTCGGTATATAATTACGGGAACACCTGTTTTTCCATTGCAGATACATTAGTTACGGGAACACCTGTTTCGGTATATAGTTACGGGAAGAACCTAATACTTCGATTGGCAAGGTGAAGCTGCTTGGAATGGTATCAAGAAGTTTGTGATTCAAACATAAACAGAATCTCTCAGTTCAAGGGCACACTTGACATTTATGACATCAGACATGCCTTGGGACGGTCATATCTACTGTATCGAGATGAAAAGGATTTACAGTCCAAAGAAGAAAAATCTTTCAAATTGGATTTTTGTTAAGGAAAAGATAGTCTATGTTCAACCCAAGGTACTAGCAGCATGGGATAATATTCCTGATTCTTCTCTTAAGAGGCAATACTCACACATGTTGTACTATCTTTTGTATTTTATTTGGACTTCATTTCAACTTAGCTGGATGTTCTGTCTGTTCCAGTGTCTTGTTGCATTTTTTTTTTTGGTGTCATTCTGTATTGTTTTCTTGTTATATAAAATTTCTGGTCCATAAATTGAAAAAGACAAAAAAGGCAAGGCATGATCTATGCCGGCTGTAGCTGAAGACTACTAGTTGAGGCATGCAATAGACCCTTTGTTGATTTGGATTTATGTCACCCTAATTTAATAAAATTTACTTTCCTTCTAAGATTGAACACCCCTAGCATTTGCCATGTTCCAACTTCTCTTGCTGGCAAATATTCAATAAATTGTCTTATGCATCATCACCGTCTTGGCTTTCCATCTGCAGCACACCAATAGCTTCTTCCCTGCTTTCAGTAGAGTCTTTGCCATCCTTGAATATGAGAAACTCCATCATCTCCACATGGAAGAAAATGAAAGTCCCGCACAAATGTGTGATGCAAGATCCAAAGTTTTTGCCAACCACACAGTGCCAGGCAGAGCCATAAGCTTCATCAAGCTTCTGTTTAGGAGAACAAAAGCTTAAGGAAAACAGTGGAAGAATTCACAAACAATGTAGCAGATAAGATACGAAGTCAGTTCCCTTGGCATAAAAAACAACTTTTATCCAATACCATAAAGTATGTTACATCAAGGGTGTTAAAACTTAAAAGGGTTTTTTTACTGTAGTGTCCCATGACTGGTTGCTTGAATCACTGATAATACATGAAAAGTGAAAGTTACTACAGTGAATGACATCTTGCAGCTAAATTCATGTTAGCCAATTCCACAAATCCCAAATCAACCGGGATACATCCTAACTGCACATTTGGGAA